TCCTCCCAGTTATGCAATGGGGAGATAAGAGGCCAGGGTTGGAGATGAGAACAGATGAAGTGGCAGCTGCCCATATCAGGCAGGATAGTCACCTCCCTGTCTACCACTGATACGCATACCTGGGGCTCCCGGGGGGGATGTCGTGTGCAGAGCAGTGAGGGCAGCCCCAAGCCCCATCAGTCCCACGTTTGTACCATCTGTATGGAGGTATCTGACTCAGTTGACTTAGGTCCCCTGGGGCAATCTGCCTTCCAAAGGTCTCCCCCACAAAAGGGATAGGGACGGGGGTTGGGGTTTGGGGTGGGGCTTGCCAGCTGGCTTGAACCATTCTGGGAAATCCTTCTTGTAGTGGTCCTGCCAGCCGCACTGATAACATCCGTTGGGGTTATCATTCTTTGGGGTTTTGGGGTCACAACTGCCAAAGGCACTTGTCTGGAGGATCATAACCAGGGCTGTCGCCCTTCTGTTGTCTCTCTGTTACATCTCCTCCAGCTCCTCTTGGTCACAATTATAAAAAGACCAACGTAGTCATTTTCAGGAGATCTAAATTTTGATCAGGGCTGAGAGCCAATATTTATAGTTTTCTCCAGATGCCTGGGGCTGACTGGATAATGAATTTGTTTTTTAAAATAAGCTGGCCCTCAGAAGTATCAGGTGATAGGGTAGTAAGCTTTCTCTGGCCTCCCTAAGTCTCTCTAGGAAAGCTGAGGGGTTTTCTTCTTTTTCCTGAGCAATGGGGGATAATTTAGGGTCATTCATGGCTTTTTCTGGGACCACGCAGCTCCTCTACCACACTAATTGGGAAACGTTTCCCCGTTCCTGAGTCCCACCTAGGCTCCTGGGATAGAACGACCTGAATCCTGTTGGGATTGAATTCCTCTCCTCTGGAGTTGTATATCCCCAAATATTGGTTAAATACCAGTCATTTCCACAAGCTCTGGCAGGCTCAAGCACAGCTCATCTCTCAGAACTTGTTACGGTCTGATCTAGCAGCAGCACACCATCTCTCCAGGAGAAATCAAAACTTCCCTAAGTCCATTTTGATTTGTTTCAAATCTGAGAAAGGAACATGCCCCATGTAGGGGCAGAAACCCCTGACCTACCTACTTCCTGCAGGGGGCACCCTGCTGGGTACAGACTGGGAGGGGTATTCAGAAATGGGCCTGATCCTTCATCCTTTTCAATGGGGTCACTGTGATCCAGGGAATGGTGCCAGGTAGAGCAAGCAAGTTGAGCCTGACTCTTGATGTCTCTGTGAGGGCTCTTGACCAGCAATTAACACCAAAAGCGTGTGGTCAAGGTGACAAGATTTACGCAGTAGAGGGTTTTCACACACAGTAAAAAAAAAGACTTGGACATAAGACACCTCAGACCACTCCCCTTCTCTCCCAGAGAACAGGCCGGACTGTGGAAGGGTCTTATAATTTAGGCTGCCCTCTGGTGTCCATTGTTCACCACCTAACACATTATACTCTGGCCAGGCCTCTGTGGAGAAGAAAATGAGGTGCTTCCTCTTCAGAGTTTGAGGGTCAAACTGGTTCCAATTCTTCAAAGTACATCCCAGTGAGGTGCTATCCTTGAGAGCTGAGGAAGAATTCCTCATCTACAAGGGAAGACGCAGACCATCACATCTGTCATCTTCCCTCTTTCCCTTGTGCAGCCACAGGGGTGTCCCCCCACCAGTAGACTGGAGGAAGCCACTTGGTCTAGCCATGGGGGCCTTGCCCCACGGGCTGGAGGAGCCTACTGGGGTGCGTGACCACCCATGGTCAGATGCTTACCCAGATTGGTCATGCATACTGCCAGAGTGACCCCCACCCACGGAAACCTCTGCCCTCACTGTACCTGGCAGGAAGAGAAACCTATCCTGACCAGGGGGGCCTACTGACAGAACCATGGGCCCCCACAGTGGTAACCCTGGCCTGATCTTTACCTGCCATGATGTTGTTCTAAAGTTTTTTGGAACTGCCCCTGGGCCCTTAAAAGGATGGCCCTGAGAAGGCTTCTTAACCCTATCTCAACTAAAAAAGGGACCTGTGCTGGTTGAAGTCCCTTGCTGGACAGCTAGCATGACTCCTGGGGGGGAATGCTGAGCTGTTTGTTCCGACTGCCAGCATTGTTGTATTAATTTCTTCTATCTGGAAAAGCTATCACTTCTTGTTTTTGACTTTACTTTTGTTTATATGGGACCCTTTCCTCTCTTTTAAGGAGCTAAGTAAACTTTACCCCCAAATATGACTACTTAAAATAAAGAATATTTTGAATTAAAGGTCATTCACAATCAGAAACCATTGGAAGGGGCTGTCCCTATACCTGCATAAAACCAGACTGACTTGATCAGGGGATCAAAGGGGGCAACTTTCTTTCCACCCTGAATATTAGCAGACCTGGCCCGAATCTTTAAAACACCTGTCCCTGGGATTAATTTACAAGTCAATCTGTTCCCCTGCCTGTTCATCCTCCCTCGCAACCACTAGCTGCACCCATTCTCCACCTTCTCCCACTCTGGTCAAAAAGGCTTCTATAAAAGTATCTGACCATCTTGAGACGTTGGGGAATCATTCTTGTGGTTCCCCCTTGTGCATGATATTTGTAAATAAACTTTTCTCTTATTAATCTGCCGTAATTGTGAGTTGATCTTTCAGCGAACCAGCCCAGGGAGTAAGTAAGGTCGTTTGGCTTTGCCGATAAGGACTGTGAGATAGCCATGGCTCTGGACTCATCGCTCAGTAATAGTATAATGTGATGATTTTCTCAAGTGATAATTATTTGTAGGCTGTAGTGGTGATAGACTCCATGTGTGGACAGATTGGCTGCCTCCTGCCCAGCACATCTTGAATGACATATCCATCCTTGGTACAATCAGTAAGGTCTCCAGGGTTAAGACCACCACATGGTACAAATAAAGCTGCTGAGTGTCCATAGCTCTGGGCTTTAAGAGAGCAGTTTCAGATAAAAGGGAACCATGACTTGAAAATAAACCCCCAAATTTTCTATTGCAAAATCACTATGTAAGTAGAATATTTATTTCTCTTACCTTTTTTTGGAGATAGAGTCTCAAGCTGTCACCTTGGTTAGAGTGTGATGGCGTCTTAGCTCACAGCAACTTCAAACTCAAGTGATCCTCTTGTCTCAGTTTTTCATTTTTAATAATTCTTTTTTTTTTTTTTTTGGCTAGGGCTGGGTTTGAACCTGCCACCTCCAGTATATAGGGCTGGCGCCCTACTCCTTTGAGCCACAGGTGCCGCCCTCAGTTTTTCATTTTTAGTAGAGACAGGATCTCAGTCTTGCTCAGTCTGGTCTGGAACTCCTGAGTTCAAGCAATCCACCTGCCTCAGCCTTCCAGAGTGCTAGCATTACAGGCATGAGCCACCATGCCAGGCCCAATGGTGCCTTCTTAATGATCTCTTTTCTGGGAATGAAGGATTCCCAGATTTGGAATGAATCTCTCCCAATTGAGATTTACAGGAAGGAATTAGATCAGAAAACACAAATAGAGCTCTGATACGTTATATAGGACAACACTCTTTTTTATGTCATGTGATTGAAAATTCAAAGACCAAAAATAAAAGACTATTCTGAAACATGAATGAAAGGAAACGGAGTCCAGGTTCTGCATGGGCATCGGTCTTAATTTCCACCTGGGTGCAAGTGACTTGAGCTTGACAAGGCAGTCAGCATGTGGGGATGGTGGAATGCCAGAGCCATTTTTCCCTTGACCCTTTCCTAACTCTGAAAATCCCCTTTCTACAATGAAGAACTGAGCGTCCAGAGCCCGTTTTCTACTCTTGCACTGCCAGACCCTGTCAACAACCTAAAACCAAAGGCTGTATTTTACACATTCCTCCCAGTAAAATTAAGGACCCCCCTGGAGAATCATGTTGTTGTGAGGTGACACCACAATTTCTGCAAAGATATGGAAAAAAATGGTTAAAAAATTGAAAAAATCATGTCTACCTATGTCAAAGTCTCATATGAGAAATTTCTTTTAGAGCTAAAGGCCTTTCTGGAAGGGCCCCCCATTTTCCTTTCTCTTAAGGACCTGATAATTTTTTTTTAAGAATAATTGTAACAATGAAACCAACAAGGCAGCCCCTTTTCCTTTAGCTATCAGTAGTTTGGCAGAAAACTTAGAGCTCACAAAATATTTTTCTTTTTTTACGGGAATATACAAAGTTTTCTATGACAAATACCTGTGAGTCTGGTGCATATTTTCCCAGGTGCTATTTCAATCTTTATTATCCTCTTTGGCTGTTATCTGTGAGCAGGTTCAAATCCTTTGTGGAATGAGGTACAGAGGCAGAAAGGAAGGAAGACCCCAGATTTCCTTATTATGGGGCAGGGTATAAAATGGTTGCTCTAACGTGGATTATAGTCTCGTTACCACAAACAGCACTGGTATGTTCCATTCCACTGGAGAAGCAGAAAAGCAAAGACAAGAGCATGAAGTTTTATTTTCCCTTAAAAAGGGAAAGACCACAGAGCTAGAGGTCTAACCATGGCAGGTAGAGTAGAAAAAAAGAGAAAAAAAGATACATAATAGTTTGCTTGTTTACATAATCTGCTCTCCTGCCCAAGAGAAAAGCAGGGCTGTTTCAGAGCCCATTGTCGCGCATTACCGCACCCCACCCCCTCGGATGCTAATAAACACTCTGTGAAATAGGTCACATGGGAATTACTTCAATTGCAGAATTAAAGCTCAAATTACTTAAAACCACACAACTAAGATTTACTAGTGCTATAATGGATAAGACAGGAGATCATGGTGTTAGAGATAGCTTGAATTCCCATTTCCGCTCTCAGCTATTTGTGAGCCCTGGAGCCTGGCACTTAATCCATTTCCTCATCTGTACTGTAAGATGAGAACAGTGAGTACTTTCTGCACGTCTCCCTATCCCGCCTCCAAGTTAATTTGGCCAAACCCAGTGTAAACTTTGTCTTCAAGTCTCTAACTCACAGTCTTCTCTGCAGAGCGGAAAGCGCCACTTGGTCCCGTTACCATGCCTCAGCTGACAGCCACCCCAGCAAGCGCCCTTGCAGATGAGCCAGTGCACATCCGAGTGACAGGCCTGCCCCCGTTCCAGGTGGTGACCCTCAAGGCCTCACTGAAGGATGACAAGGGTGATCTGTTCCAATCCAAAGCCTTCTACAGGGCGAATGAGGCTGGGGAGGTGGACCTGGAGCAGGCTCCCGCACTTGGAGGCGATTACGTGGGGGTCCATCCCATGGGCCTTTTCTGGTCTCTGAAGCCTGAGAAGGCTTTCTGGAGGCTGCTCAAGCACGATGTGCTCAACACCCCCTTTTGGGTCACTCTGGACGTATATGATTCTATTTGCTCCCAATATTCAGCCATCATTCAACCCAGTGCCAGCCAGGTTGTACAACGGTGGTTCTCAGGCCCGGGGGTGCAGAGGAAGCAGATCCGGGAAGGTCGAGTGCGAGGAGCCCTTTTTCTTCCTCCAGGTGAGACTGAGTCTTCATGGTGCAGAAAACGTTGTTGATGGAAATAAATACAAACAAACCCCAAGAGCATCGAATTATCAGAGAACCAGATTTTCTGTAATGTTTTAAAACTGACATTCTATTTTGTGCCTATGTGTTTGTGGGCACGTGTGCATGAGAGAAGATGGAATTAATTTTGCTTGCCTTGCCCCGCGCTGTGGTGCTATCTACTTGACCCTCTTTTCACTTTCCTATTCCATTCTCTTTCTGATTTGTGCTCTCAGGGGAAGGTCCTTTCCTAGGCGTCATTGATTTGTTTGGAGCCATTGGAGGTCTAGTAGAGTTTCGAGCCAGTCTTTTGGCTGCCCGTGGCTTTGCAGTGCTGGCCTTAGCATATTTTGACTACGAAGACCTGCCTGAAGAACTGCTGGAAGTGGACTTGGAATATTTTGAGGAAGCTGCCAACTTGCTACTAGCTCACCCCAAGGTATTTAAAATAGTTTTCATTTTCACCTTGCAACTTTACAGGGAAAAAAAATCACAAATGTCTGTTCTGTTTCACCAATCTGGGCATACAAACTCAGGCATACATAGCACAACTGACACTTAAATGGGAGTGGTTATATCTGCTTTGCAGAATTTTTGAGTTGATTTGTTATCCGTTTCGTGCTTATTGTTATCTAGAAGATAACGAATGGTGGACATATTATGATATTTTCAGTGGAAAAAAGTCAAAGCACCTTGTATTTGAAGTGTTTGTAATTAATTTACTCACAAATGGCTTTGATATTTTATCAGCCTCTGATCTTAAATCATAGCTTCCCTGGCTTGATGTGTTCTCTGACTTCAGTGATTATCTCTGCAGGGGAAATGCTAGAGTAAATCACACCAAAGAGTTCAGAGACTAAGAGCCATGCAGAGGCTCAGTACTGGGCCTGCGGCACAAGAGCAAGGCAGGATTATTAGCAAAACTCATTTAGCTACGTCACCGGATTAGCTGAATTAGCTCTGTCGTTAGTTTCAGAGCTGAAGGTAGAGCAAACCGAAAGTTAAGTGTCCAGTGCCAGAAGCCAGAAAATAATCGAAAAGAAGCATCAGTTGAGAACTCTTTGCCAAGTATTGTTGCTCTATTGGAAGTGTGGTCTGTGGGACAACAGCCTCAGCATCACCTGGGAGCCATTAGAAATGCAGAATCTCATTTTCTGCCCCTGAACCAGGTTCTGCATGTTAACAAGATCCCCCAGGTGATTCTCACACGCATTAAAGTGTGAAAAGACATGGACTATAACGTCGTAAGCCCAGCTTTTCCTAAGAGTTAAATCTTGGTTGGATTTGACTTCGTTCTCTTGAGGAGGTCCCAAAGTACGGACATTTGTGTTAATGACTAAAATGAGAAACACTGCAATAAATACCACATGATCACGTGTCAGAACTGATATTCTATTACGTTAAGCCATATTTTTGTTTTTCAGGTCAAAAATGTTCAAATATCAGCTATTACTATGAATCAATCTAACAATGGTAAAACAATAATATCAGATAACATTTACTGAGTTACATTTAAACCGCACACTATGTAGTTTATACTCACTATCCCGTTTAACACAGTAGCCTTATGAAGTAGGTACTGTCAATGTCATTTTCACTTTTTAGACAAGAAAGGATATTTAGATTAAGTAATGTGTCAAAACTACACAGGCATTAAGTAACAGAGCCAGCCTGATAATGTCTTGGCTCTAAATCATTAAATTATCTTGACTTCCCATCAGGTATCATTCTTTCCCACCCCAACTCTGGAGAGCTGTGACTCTTCTCAAGGAGAGATAGGATGTTTCCTGTTAGAACCTCATCAGTGGGCATGGTGGCTCTTGCCTGTAATCCAGTGGTTCTCAACATTCCTAATGGGGTCACCACAACATGAGGAAGTATATGAAAGGGTCGCAGCCTTAGGAAGGTTGAGAACCATTGCTGTAATCTTACTACTCTGGGTGGCCCAGGTGGGTAGATTGCCTGAGCTCATGGGTTCAAGTCCAGCCTAAGCAAGAGCAAGACCTCTGTCTCTAAATACAGCTGGGTGCTGTAGGAGGCTCCTGTAGTCCCAGCTACTTGGGAGGCTGAGGCAAGAGAATCACTTGTGCCTAAGAGTGTGAGGTTGCTGTGAGCTGTGATGCAATGGCACCCTACTGAGGGCAACAAAGTAAGACTCTGTCTCAAAAAAAATCATCAACATCTTCATCTTTAGGATAGATAAAACATATGTGTTACTTTTCTAAGCCAATTTGAATCTTTTTAAAGGATTGTCTAAAAGGAATTAATCCCAGATAAAATGTTTTCAAGTTAATTTTTTTTTTTTTTTTTTTTTTGAGACAGAGTCTCAAGCTGTCATCCTGGGTAGAATGCTGTGGCATCAAAGCTCACAGCAACCTCAAACTCCTGGGCTTAAGCGATACTCTTGCCTCAGCCTCCCAACCTGCCACAGCACCTGGCTATTTTTTTGGTTGTAGTTGTCATTGTTGTTTGGTGGGCCCAGGCTGGATTCAAACCTGCCAGCTCCGGTGTTTGTGGCTGGCACCCTAGCCACTTGAACCATAGGCGCAAAGCCTCAAGTTAATTTTTAAATTTCAAATTTAAATATTTGTGAAATTGAGGACGAAAGTCAATTGCAAAAATTCTATTTGGATTTAGACAGCAGATGAGCTCCAATATCCACCTCTGCCCCTTCATACTATTGTGACCTTGGACAAGTCTTTTAAACTTCCTGAATCTCAGTTTTATTATTAGAAGGACTGAGATAATATGTATCAGATTCTAGGGTTCACTAAGACCTATCAAAGCAAGCACTAAAAAAAATGGGATCTTAGAAAGCTCTAATTTTAAAACTTTTTCCCCCCAGATAATTCTGATGACAGAAAGGTCCTCTGGGATAATATTGTGAGATTAACGAACAAACTAGGTCTCCTTGTACTTGCTGTTGTCTGTCCCAGTCTCCTCCTTTTCCTCCCTCATTTCTTAGACTCTTTTCTTCCCCTCTGCTCCCTCTGTCTATGAGGGAATTAATGATCCCTTCTATAATACCGAATTCAATTATTTATTGAATCCAAATCTTCCGTCTCTCTTTATATTCCCAGTGCTTTCAGGATTAGCCATTGAACTCATGTAGGTAATATATGGGCAATAAACATTGTAGCTGTAAAATGCTATTTAAATGTGAATTACACTTAACATAATATTTGAGAAAACCAGAGAAATGCCTCTTTTGTGGCTAGAGAAAGAATTTGGTGCTCGGGGAAGCTTACCTGTCTCAGGTGTGTTAGGCAATTTTGCATTTCTAGAACCGTCCCTTTGATAATGAGTGTTTTTTTCTGTTGTTCCAGTTGATCCTCATAACAACCTTGTAAGGTAGGTAATGTCACCTCCACAAGACAATAGAGCTTAGAGAGGCTAAGTAACCTTCCAAGTCACAGAAGCTAGTAAGCCCCCATGTCAGAACTCGCCTGTCCATCCTACTGGTTTATCTGCACGCAGAGTACAGCTTTCTGAGAGCGGGACCCATGATGTATTTCCCTTTGTTTTGCGCTTCAGATCCAAAGGCCAGGAATCGGAGTGATCTCCATGTGCAAGGGCGCAGAGATCGCGCTGGCCATGGCCTGTTACCTGAAGCAAGCGGTGGCCATCGTCTGCATTAACGGGTTCACTGCTGTCATGGGTGTTCCTCTCCGGTACAAGGACCTGGTTGTGACCCCCATCCGCCCTGAAATGGAGCGCGTGCAGGTGCACGCCTCTGGAGCTCTGAGCTACTGCCACTGTTACGGAGACCCGCGCGACAAGCTGAATGGGCAGAGCGTGCTGCCAGTTGAAAAGGCTCAGAGCCGGCTTCTTTTTATTGTCGGAGAAGATGATGAATTCATCAGAAGCAAACTGTATGCTGAGCAGGCCATGGACCGGCTGCGGAGCCACGGCAGAAGCCACGGCAGGGTTCTGGTGTACCCCAGCGCGGGGCACCTCATAGACCCACCCTATGCTCCTTTGTGCTTCGCGTCCCGGGTCCGGGGCCTTCCCAGGCCCTTCCTCTGGGGAGGGGACCCTGCTGCCCATGCAGCAGCCCAGGAGCACGCCTGGGGAGAGATCCAGAAATTCTTTAGGCAACACCTCATTCAGAACAGAAGCAAACTCTGAGCAAGGATGAATGATAACGAGTGAGGGGGAGAGAAGAGGCTGGCCTTGGGGAATAACCAGGGTAAGAAAGGAAGAGGTGGGCAGAGGATCTCTCCAGACAGAATGAAGGGGCCAGGGCACATGTGCATCTGAAGTATCTCTGACAAATTTGTATGTGCTTCAGTTTTTTTGTAAATTGGATCTTAGTTTGTATATGCTAGGGTACAGTGCTCTTTCAAAATTGTGATACTCTTGCAAATCGAATAGTCCTTTATCCTTCAGTTAGGGCTTCTTTGGATCCAGGCATTGCCAATCTAGATGAATTCCCTAGAACTGCGAGTTACTTGCAAAAATACCTCTTAAAGCATTTTGAGTTGGGTTTCCGTCACTTGATATGAAAAATTCTAATACTCCCACTGAGTGTAAGGCTTGCTATAAATTTCCAGTAGGTACTTAATTTTTTTTCTAAAATAGTGATACTTCTCTTTATACACACTTTGTGTATATATAACCATTAAACAATATGGTTGGATGGAATTTAATCAAATGCTTTTTTAGTATTTATTAAAATTGAATCAGTTAGTAATATTAAAGTTGTTAGAACAGGGCCTGGCCCATGGTAATTACTCTATCAGAGTTAGCCATTATTATTTGGTAATTATCATTTTTCTCCTTGAATGTGGTGAACTACCTTCATTAATAGAATAATTTGGTTTATTTATCTGATTTTAATAGATGAATGTCTCACAGTGACCAATTTGTGTTTTGAGATTTCTTTTGGAGCCAAGCTAATCATTCATATTTTCTCAGAATTCACCCTGTCTTCTAGAACACATTTTTCTCTCCTGATTTTTCGCATAACCTCTGTTGCTTGTAGAGATATCCTCTCTCTTTCCTCTCAGTCTGACTTGCTAAGTATTTGTCTACTTTTTCCAGGGACAGCTTTTGGTTTATTTATTGGTCAGATTTGCTTTTTGCTGATTCATTAATTTCTGATTTTTAAAATAATGTCCACTGCCATCTTTGTGTTTTTTCTGGGCTTTGTGATATGCAGTGTTCTCATTTTGTTAATTTCTAAATAGTTTCTGATTTTTGTTCCTGTTAAACTCAAGAGTTATTTTGCCCAAGTACAATTGTCATCCCCTACTTGCCCTTCTGAGGGGGAGGAGAGCAGGAATGTCATTTTGTAATAGAGGTTATCCCCACCTGAGCCCACTGGTTAAATTTAGCTTCTGTAAAAGGGGTCAGTTTCACATAATGTGCTTCACAAGGGCTTGTAATGTAGAGAGCCCAGCAGTGCGTGGAACTACTCCTAACAATACCGTTGAATCTAATCAAGCCTTTGATAATTAACTGATATAAATTGTGACTGGAGAACAAGGCCATACAAGTTAGAAAACAAATCCAGATTGTGGGTCATTTTGTGGGACAACTGTCGTGTTTATCAAGTGAATTGCATGAGAAAAAGAAAGGCTTGAGTGAGCTGGGACAATGAACTTCAGAATTAAACAAGGCTTGAGGGATGTATTAACCAAATGCTATGTGTGGCCCTGGTTTGAACAAAGCAACTATAAAAAGACATTTAAGGGACTATTAGAGAGAATGGAATATGAAATGGATACTAAATTATACTAAGGAACTGTTACCTTATGAAATGCGATAATGCTATTGTGGTTATATAAAACAGTCATTATTTAGAGATACATATTGAAATATGTAGTGATGAAGAATCATGATATCTGGCAATTATCTTAAATTACTATAGGAATATGGCAAAACGTGAACAATTATTAAGTTTAGATGATGGGTATAATGAAGTTTGTTATAAGACACGTATTCTTTTTAATGTCTGCCTGCAATTTTTCATAGGAAAAAATCTAAAAAAAGAGACATCATCAATGTATTTACTTTTCTGTCTCAAAGGTTAAGAATGCTAGCCTGCATTACATCTTTTTCTCCATGTCACTGATCATTAATTTCAGATGATTAATTTTTTACCATCAATAATTATTATTATTTTTTGAGACAGAGTCTCACTATGTCATCTTTGATAGAGTGCCATGGTGTCACAGCTCACAGCAACCTCCAGCTCTTGGGCTTAAGCAATTCTCTTGCCGCAGCCCCAGGTAGCTGGGACCACAGGCACCCACCACAATGCCCAGCTATTTTTTGTTGCAGTTGTCATTGTTGTCTGGCTGGCCTGGGCCGAGGTTCAAACCTGCCATCCTCAGTGTATGTGGCTGGCACTGTAACCACTGTGCTACGGGCGCTGCGCCTACCATCAATAATTATTTAATCATAACTTGCCTTAATAGTTTCTTTGCTACTTGCTGTTTCTTAGAGACCAGTTTTTAAAAAAATTCTTGGCTTTATCTTTCATTTTCCAAAGTGCAAGCTCACATTATTCCTTTAAAAAGTTCCCATTCATCTTAGCACATCTGAAAATGTCTGTATTTTCCCCTAACTTCTCAATTATAATTTTTATAGAAATAGGATTTGATGTTAACAATTATTTCTCTCAGAACTTTGGTATTTTTTTCAGCATCCACTGTTCCCAACAAGAAATCTGATTCTCACTACTTTGTGGGATTTTTCTCTCTGGAATTTTTTCATAATTTTCTTTTTGTTGTGAAATTTTATCAAGCTATGACTAAGGGTTAGTTTATAATTGCTCTTTTATTTTACTTGGCACTATGTGGGCTCTTTCAAACTAAAAACTTAGCTCTATACTATTGTTTAAATATGGCCCCTCCTAAGTTCAGGTGTTGAAACTCAAGGCCAATGTGACAGTATTATTGTTCACAGGTGGGACCCTTAAGAGGCGATTAAGCCGTGAGGGCTGCTCCCTTATTAACGGGCTTGGGGCCCTTATTCAGGGGGCTTCGGGCGGCTTTCGGCTTTCTCGCCCTTCTGCCATGTGAGGACGTGGCGTTCCTCCCTCCAGCACAACCTAACAGGGCGCCAGCTTGGAAGCGCCGAGAAAGTCCTCACGGACACCGAACCCACCGGTATCTTGATCTTTGACTCCCAGCCTCCAGAACGGTGAGAAATAATTTTCCGTGATTTATCAATTACCTGTTTTCAGGTATTCTCTTATAGCAGCCCAAGTGGAGTAAAACAATCTATCTTCAGCTTTAAGATTTTTGCTTGTATTGATTTTCTGACCATTTCACCCGCTCCAATTTTTCTGTTCCTTCCTCTGGAGCCCCATGAAGAGGATATTGGAGCTTCTGGATGTATTCCTCAGGAATGTTGATTTTTTTTTTCCTCATACTTTCACATTTTTGCATTTTCCTTCCTGCATCTTTGGAGAATTTTACGGTTTATTAGTTGAACCCATTAATTTGTTGTTCGTCTGTACCCAATGTGCTATTAGCTTATCTCTTGAGTTTTATTTTGATGAGCCTAATTTTTGGATTTCCAAGATCTCTAACTGGGTCTGTTCCTTAAGCCTGTTTTCATTTTATAGATAAGTCTGCATTTCTTTTTATTTTTTAACTTTATTCAAATTAATATGAGGGTACAATGTTTAGGTTACATTGTTCCCACTTCCAGGGCAAAGTTCCATTTGTAGAAGAGCCCCTCACCCAGGAGGCGTGTTATACAGCCTCACAACGTGCACAGTAGGTGAGGTCCTGCCTCATGTCCTCCCTCCTTCTGTCGTATGTCCCCCACTCCCCCGCCGACCCTAGAACTGGACTAGAATAGTGTTTTATTGTTCTTACCAACATGTAATTGTTCATATATTGATTTCATATTTGTATGGAGAACATTGGATATTTTTTCATTCTTGAAATAGTTTACTAGGAAGAATGTATTTCAACTCCATCCAGGGAAATGTAGAAGGTGTAAGGTCTCCATCTTTTTTAATAGCTGAATAATATTTCATGGTATACATATGCTACAATTTGTCGATCTATTCATGAGTTGATGGGAACTTAGGTTGCTTCCACAACTTGGCAATTATGAATTGAGCTGCAACAAACATTCTAGTGCAAATGTCTTTGTGGTAAAATGATTTGTGTTTTTCTGGGTAGATACCTAGTAATGGGACTGCAGGGTCAAATGGAAGGTCTACTTTCAGATCTTTGCGGATTCTCCACACTTCTCTCTAAAAAGGCTGTATTAGATTGCAATCCCACCAGCAGTGTAGAAGTGTTCCCCTCTCTCCACATCCATGCCAGCATCTGGCGTCTTGGGACTTTGTGGCGTGGGCTAATCTTGCTGGGGGCGGGTGATAACTGGTCTGATTTCTTACTCCTCCTCTACCTGCAGCTTTCACTAGCACAGGTTCTGTGTGGAGTATTGTCATTATATTTATCTATTTTTTTCAAGTTACACCAAACTAATACTTATAAAACTATCATGTACTCATAATAATTTTTTTATCTTCATGTGGTACATGTAATGTTCTGATATAGGCCTATAGTGTGAACTAATCAAATCAGGCTAATTGGGGTATCCATAGGCATTTATCATTTTTGTGCTAGGAACATTCCAATACCAATCCTTCAGTTATTTTAAAGTGTACCCTAACTTATTTTTGTTTTTGTGTTGAAACAGACTCTCACTTTGTTGCTCTTGGTAGAGTGCTGTAACATCACTGCTCACAGCAACCTCAAACTGTTTGGCTCAAACAATTCTCTTGCCTTAGCCTCCCAAGTAGCTGGGACTACAGGCACCTACCACAACGCCCAGCTATTATTAGAGATGGGGGTCTCACTCTGGCTCAGGCTGGTCGCAAACCCATGAGCTTAGGCAATCCACCTGCCTCAGCCTCCCAGAGTGCTGGGATTATAGGCATGAGCCACTGCACCCGGCCCATAACTTTTTGATTATAGTCACTTGTACTATCAAATACTTCTTATTCTATCTATCAAATTATATTTTTGTATCCATTAACATCCTCACTTTAGTCCCCCTTCCCTTCTACCCTTCTCAGCCTCTGGTAACCATCATTCTACTCTTTCTCTCCATAAGATCAATTATATTTATTTATTTATTTTTTTTGAGACAGAGCCTCAAGCTGTCGCCCTTGGTAGAGTGCTGTGGCATCACAGCAACCTCCAACTCCTGGGCTTAAGCAATTCTCTTGCCTCAGCCTCCCAAGTAGCTGGGACCACAGGTGCTCACCACAGTGACTGGCTATTTTTTTGGTTGTAGTTGTCGTTGTTTGGCGGGCCCAGGCTGGATTCAAACCCGCCAGCTCTGGTGTATGTGGCTGGCACCTTACCTGCTTGAGCTACAGGCACCGAGTCAGATGAATTATTTTTAATATTTACCTCTCATATATGAGTGAAAACCTATGAGATTTGTCTTTCTGTGCTTGTCTTATTTCACTTAACATTCTCACTAGGTCCATCCATGTTGTTGGAAATGGCAGGATTTGTTCGTTCTCTGTGCTATATAATATTCCAGTGTCTGTGCAGCACAATTCATTTACCCATTGATGAACATTAGGTTGATTCCAAACCTTTTCAATGTACTGAATTCCTGTCCTTTGGAGTGGGATTGCTGTGTCATATGGTAGTTCTATTTTTTTTCTTTCTTCTTCTTCTTTTTTTTTTTTTTTTTTTTTTGGAGACAGAGTCTCACTCTGTTGCCCAGACGAGAGCACCACAGTATCAGTCTAGCTCACAACAACCTCAAACTCTTGGGTTCATGTAATCTTCCTGCCTCGGCTTCTCCAGTAGCTGGGGCTACAGGTGCCTGCCACAATGCCTGGCAATTTTTTTTTTTTTTCTATTTTCGGTAGATACAGGGTCTCACTCTTGCTCAGGCTAGTCTGGAACTCCTGAGCTTAAATGATCCTGCTGCCTCGGCCTCCTGGAGTGCTAGGATTACAGGCGTGCCCCACTGCACTAGCTGATGGTTCTATTTTTCATATTTTGGGAAACTTTCATGCTGTTCTCCATACTGGTTGCGCTAATTGACATTCCCACCAACAGTGTATGAGGGTTCTCCTTTCTCCCCATGCCCAGCAGTATTCACTATTCTGCTCTGATAAAAGCCATTTTAACTGGGGTGAGATAGCTCACTGTAGTTTTGATTTGCATTTCTCTGATCAACAAGGAGCATTTTTTCATATATCTGTTTGCCATTTGTATGTCTTTTGAGTACTGAGATTCTTTGTCCATTTTTAAGTGAAATTGTTTTTTTTTTCCCCTCTATTGAGTTGTTGGACCTCTTTGTATCTTAATCATTGATACCTTGTCAAATGAGTTTGTAAACATTCTATGGGTTGTTAATTTTTTTGATTCCTTTGCTGTGATGAAAGTTTTTAGCTTGATGTGGTCCTGTTTGTCCAATTTTGCTTTGGTTTCCTATTCTTTGGGGGTAACTTAAGAAATCCTTATCCAGACCAATGTCTTGAAGCATTTCCCCAAAGTCTTATTTTAGTAGTTTCATAGTTTGAGGACTTAGAGCTAAGCCTTCAATCCATTTTGCTTTGATTTTTTTGCATTTGATAAAAGAAGATAAACCTTCAGTGTTTTGTTTGTTTGTTTTAGACACAGTTTCACTTTGTTACCCTTGGTCGAGTGCCGTGGCATCATAGCTCGCTTGCCAGCAACCTCCAACTCTTGGGCTTACGCAATTCTCTTGCCTTAGCCTCCCAAGTAGCTGGGACTGCAGGTGCCCACTACAACGCCCAGCTATTTTTAGAGATGGGATCTCACTCTTGCTCAGGCTGGTCTTGATCCTGTGACCTGAGGCAATCCACTCACCTTGGCCTCCCAAGTGCTAGGATTACAGGTGTGAGCCACCGTGCCTAGCCAAACTTTTAGTTTTGTACTTCTGCATATGGACATCCAGTTTCCCCCCAGCATTTACTGAAAAGACTGTCCTTTCCCCACTGTATGTTCTTGGCAACTTTGTCAAAGATAAGTTTACTACAGATGTGTGGATTTGTCCCTGGGTTCTCTATTCTGGTCCACTGGTCGGTCTGTCTGTATTTATGTCAGCACCATGCTGTTTCGCTTACAACAAAAGAGTATA